ACTGCAAAATCAGTTTGAATCACAAAGTTGGTGGTTCAAGCTCACCAGCTTCTCCTTAGAAACTCTATAGAGGGTCACTATGGGTCGGAATCGACTCAGCGGCACTTAACAATAACAACAACCCCTGCGGTATAGGGTTTCAAAGACTGTAAATCTCTACAGGAGCTGAAAGCTTTATCTTTCTCTGGATGTTTGAACTGCTGACCTTCCAGTTACCAATCCTGGGCTTATCCTATAGTACCACCAGACTCTTAAACTGTGAGCCAACAGAGAGAAATCCTTCACTTAGAGCTGGTGCCCTGAATTTGAACTTCTAGCTTCCTTAACTGTGAGAGAATGAATTTCTGTTATATTTCCACTAGATGACCAAGACAGATGGGAAGATGACCTCCAAGATCCCGTATGCCTGAGATAAGTCTGTGACTGTGAACTGTTACTGACTGAAGATGCACACTTGATGGTAAAAAATGGTAAACTGGGCAACACATCATATAGCGCCACGTTATCACAGCACATGTGGTGTGGATTACCTACTGTGTCACAGTCACTTGGTCACAGCTGATCCTCATAGCAACTCTAGGAAATAGAGTTAGTAACCCCCTTTGAAAGGAAAGTGAAGATCTAAGAAATCAAATAGCCTGTGCAATGCCCTAAATGGGAAGCCCTAGGGCCAGGATTTGAAGGAGTCCTGGTGTGGCATTGTAGGAGAAGCCCTGGACAGCAGGGTCGGCTTGAACCACAAAGTCAACAGTTCAAACTCACAAGCCATTCTGCAGAAACCCTATACAGGGTCACTGTGTGTCGGAACTGACTCCATGCACTTAGCTACAACATATCTGACTCCAGAACACATGTTCTGGAGTGCAACATGCAAACTACCTCCTAAATAATGCATACCATGTAAACAGAGTGACAATGTTTATGAGTAGCAAGGCTCTGGGTGAACATCATAGAAAAGATCAAATGTATTACAAAGTCAGGTCTTTTATCCTTCCTGGATTTTGGTCAGACCCCTGTACAAATAAGGACATAGTCTAGTGATGACAATTGACTTTCATTTGATCAGTTGGTGTTGGCTGCCTAAATTGCTATGTGGAAAAGGATAAAAGATTCTGAGGTCAATTCTTGGTTCATCAGGAAGGAGTTATTATTAATTAGCCACATCTGTCATAAGAACTAGGGGAGGGAAGTCAAGACAATTATAACAGATGTTGCCACCTGCAAGGTGACTGCCTTATAGAGGACTTGTCTGTGCTTGTAAGATTTAATAAAATTTCCACAGGTGTTGTTTAGCAAAATGTTGTCAATGTAGAAATCTTGGAGTTTCAGCTACGCCTTTCCCACTGGTCTTAAAGAGAAACTCTGCAGGAAAGGCAATGAAAGATAGAATGCATAATGCAAGTGTTATGTTTAAACAAGTCCATTGCATGGACTGTGATCAAAACAGCTGTATGCCTGTCTTCTACTGTCCTTTAAATTCCATTCAGTGAACATGATTTTTCTTGCCTAGATAACCTATTCAAAGGGGACTGTGACTTTCTCTGATTATTTTTAACTAAGAATCCAATAAATCACTTAAGTCACAAACTCAGTTTTAATTTCCCAGTTACTATTGAGTCAATTATAACTCAGGGATTCCTCTTGTATGTCAGAGTAGAACTGTGTTACATAGTGTTTTCAATGACTGATTTTTCACAAGTAGATAACCAAGCCTTTCTTCCAAGGTGCCTCCAAAATTTCAGATAGCAGTCAAGGCATGTTGACCTACCCAGTAACTCCAGTTTCAATTAGGCATTAGAATCTCAAAACCCTTGTAATCCTCCAAACTCTGAATTTCACTCACTGTGAAATCTCATTCCCTCAGTCTGGGCCCAGCACTGAAGGGGTGTGATTTTTTTTTTTTTCCCACTCTGGCTATGCTCATCCTCCTCCAACTCTATCTTCTATTTTTGCTATGGACAGGGATCAAAACTGGAGGAAAAACATGAGTAGAGATGAATGTCTTTGTCTGAGTTCCCAAGAGGAGCAAAACCAGTGAAGTGTGGTTGGTTGGTTGTGTGATGTGGAGTCTGTTCTGATTCATAGTAATTCTGTATAGGGTTTCCAAGGCTATAAATCTTTATGGGAGCAGAAAGCCTCATCTTTCTCCCATGGAGTAGCCAATAGTTTGGAATTACTGACCTTCCAGTTAACAGTCCAATTCTTAGCTCACTACACTACCAGGGTTCCTTCCAGTGACGTGTATATATACAATATAGAGAGATTTGCTTCAAGGAAACAGTTCACATCATTATGAAGGTTAGTAAGTCTCAAATCCTTGGGTCAGGCTGAAGGCATCTGCTGGCTCATGTGGGTGCAGGGGTTGATGAACTGAAAATCTACAAGTCAGATGACAGACTGAAGACTTCTGGAGGCTCATGTCCCCAGAACGAGAGATCAGATAATGAGTGCAGGGTTGAAGAGAACAAGCCTTGCTAGAACATCAACTTATATACTAGAGATAGGTCATACTAAGGAACCTAAGGAACTTCTCTTGCAGTGGATTCAGCCCATTATGGAATTGATTACTATTATATTACATTGTGGAAGACAATCAGTCCAATGGCTGCAAAAGCAAAGAGAATCATAGGCTAGCCAAATTGACACACACCATTTATCATCACAGTGAGATAGACCCAAATTCAATGCACTGCTAAGTCTCTTTCTTTCTGCTGCAGTTTCCTGAGTCAGGTGGTGTTATCTCTATCTGAGAGGTCACTTCCTGCTCTTTCTCAATCTGCGCGTCTGGTGGTATATCTCCATTCTCTTTCTTTGGAAGTCTCTTTGCCCCTTCCAGGAATTCCTATGGAATAGATCTTAAGACCACCCCATGATGCCCCTCTCCCCCGGGGCAACCTACATTGTATCCAAGGACAATCCCAGGAAGTTCTGATTAGTCCCTCAACAGCAGCATCCCTAGAACCAAAGAGATTGGTAAGCCATTTTCTTGCTTTCTAGATTGCCCAGGTGTGAGTCAGACTTCATTCCACAGCTTCCAAGTGATACATACCAGGGATGCTGTCTATGCTGGGCCTGGAGGGTATTTCTCAAAGTGGTCCAGAGAAGATATGCATTGGAATCATCTTGGAGAAGTTGTTAAAAGTGCTGAGATCCAGGTCCCATCCCATGTACTGGACTGCTAACCACAAGACCAGCAGTTCAAACCCACCTTGGAAACCTTATATAGGGACACTATGACTCAGAACCTATTCAAGAACATGTAATCATAACAAGAAGTTTGGAAGTCTGCACTAAGGTTGCCAGATAAGATAGAGAATGCCCAGTTAACTTTGAATATCAGATAAAAGAATAATTTTTTAATATAAGTATGTCTGAAGGTTTGCATGAAGCATAATTATACTAGAACATTATTCATCATTTATCTGAAATTCAAATTTAATGGGTGTCTTTTATTTTCATTTGCTTACTATGACAGCTCTAATCTGTACTGAATAAGCTTCCCAGGCTTACCAAAGCTAGAAAACTACTGGTCAGGTCTGTGGTAAGCCACCAAGTTAATGGCATCCCAGAAAGCCTACTGAGAAGTAGCTAGTTAATAGACCCTGGGCAAGTAGGACCATTCCTACATCATCATGTGCCTTGGTTCCTCTTTGAATTTCTACATGTTCATTATATAGAGCAGGGTGTGTTAAAAATTATCTCTCTACCTCAGGTCTCCATGTTTGCCCTGTCTGAGGGTAACCATTCCTTCTGGAGTTGTGCTATGTGTATTCTCTGTCCCCACTTTGTCCATCCTTGTACCACTTTGGGCATGGTGCAACCCTTTGTTATTGTGAAGAAGCATTGCAGACATGCTGGGCAGTGGATGAGTATTTAACAAGAAATGTTAGTAGGAGGGATAGACTCCAGAGGATGATCTTCAGGAGGAAATGAGTGATTTATGTTGTTGCTTAGATCTCTTCATCATAAATCAGCAGCAATTTATGGTAAATGATTCCTTCATCCTGTTTCCCCATCAGTGAGACTGTTTATCGTTCATCATTCCCCCAATTCCCAATTCCTGGAGTAACCAGGCCCAGAGCCTCCCTCTTCCTCCCCTCTACATCCTCACCCCAGAACAAACAGAGCAGAGCAAAGAAGAAAACCATCGACATTCAGCAGGTGGGTGAGAGGGACAATAGGTCTAGGGGAGGGCAGTCTTAGGGACACCTGATGGGAAATATTTAAAAAGAAGAGGACTGAATAAAAAGGAGGGGACAGAGGGAATGACAGGAACTTCTCAACAAGGCAACCCTGAAGAGCAAGGCAGAGAGAGCTGGGCCGTGATGACTCTGTGTGGTTTGGAACATTTACATGAATAGCAGTAAAGAAATGCTTCAGCTTTCATCAGAACTGAGGTATCTTTTGTTTGAACAGGGAGATGATACATGATTCAGACACTGGTGGAGACAGGGCTGTCTACTCAATGGACACATGGGCAGTGAGTAGCATCTGCCTCAGGAAGCCACTTGGCTAGATAAAAAATAAGGCAAATTGTCAGGGAGTTGAGATGAAACAGTTAAACTGAACTTCTAGGTGTCAGAGTAACTGACTAAGACAACAAGCCCAAATGAAAATAGCAGCCAAGCCTGGTAGTATTTCCTGTTATAGAACAAGAGAAAGTTGGAGTAGGCACCAACTCCCCTGTTTCCTTATTTCCCCAGGAACACCACCAGTATGAGGCAGGAACAATGCAAACATGGGGAGCCATCTCATTACTCACAGACCTTAAACAAAACAATAAAAAGCTCTTGTAGGGTTGAAAGGGGGATATGGGGTGGTCTAAGAGTGGAAACACACTGAGTACTGAATCAGAGTGAGGAAAGCATCTTCCGGGTTGTTGTTCCTGTCCCTTCCTCATGATAAGGAGGCTTCAGCAGAGGAAGGGACCTACAGAAGGCTTCTGATAAAGAACCTTTGCATGGGGTACCTGGGCTAGGAATGCAAACATATGAAAGAGCATGGTTGTGGGGCTGAAGTCCTTGACAGCAACTCCCTTCAGAGACTTCAGTGCATTGTCTATGCAGCCTCTGGACCTGCCACGTAAAATAAAGCCATTGTAGTTGCCTATGGTCAGGCCTGGAAAATCACATATAGGTTTTTAACCAGGAGCAGGATTCTTCACAGATGTCCAGAATTTCTTCTGCCCAGTAAGTACTTGAAGACACACCCTTAGTGCAAAGAAAAGTCTACCTCTGGAGTCATAATGAACTCATTTTGAGTTTCATAACAGCCTTTACTGAAGTCAACATTATTATCTCTGTTCTGCAGATGAGAAAACTGGGGGATCAAGATTGGTCAAGGCACACACTGCTGTCTGAAAAATTACCCGAGGTGGCATTAGGAAAGGAAATTAGTACATAATTCACTTCCAACCACTTGTCCTGGCCAATGGGTGTTTGGGCAAAGTCCACCTAAGTCAGTGCACTGGGAGGTTAAAATAAAAAGGAAGGTACAAATCCCATGACTGAGTCCCTGACATATGGTACAGTCATGGGCTGAGCATTTCCATTTCTGAATCAGATCCTTTCATCTTTAGGAATGGATCGGGGACTATCTGGTGATTTGGAGACCATGAGAAATTAACCAAGGAAGTGGTAGAAGCAGGAATTGTTACCTGCTGATCAGGAGTGATGGGGGCAGGATGTTAGTGCCCAGAGAGGCTTCGGGCCTCCTAGTGCTCTTCCTCCCCACCCTCACCCCCAAATCTCTCTATCAGACTTTACATACACATTCACAGACATGGAGCAACTCACGGAAGGCAAAAGGACAAATGAGACACAAGTGCTGCCCTCTGTGAGTGCTTTTTCTAATGAGAGGGTGGGACCTGTAGGCAAATAACACAAAGTGACCAACCTAGACCTGAACAACTGAGCAACATAAAACCAAACCCAAACCCAAACCACTACCACTGACTTGATTCCAACTCACAGCAAGCCTATGTAGGGTTCCCAAGACTGTCAATCTGTATGGGAGCAGATAGTCTCTTCTTTCTCCTATGGAGCAGCAAGGGGAGAAAGACGCAGACCAATTCTTCTCAAAGGCATCCTCCCCTCCTTTCAGGGTCATGAAGGAGGACCAGTGCTTATCAAACAAGAAGGTGCTAGAGCAGGAAGAACACTTCAGACAGAGGGAGCAGCACATACAAACTCTAGGTGGCAGGTGTGGAAGAGCTTGATGTGTTGAGGCAGAGTGAGAGTTTCAGGTGGCTGTAACATAAACCATGCTGGTGAGAACAAGAAGGAAGAACAGTGTAGAAAATAACAGCTGAGCCAGCCATGAAGGTATTTCATTTACTTATTATATTTCTTGATCACTGCTAGGTGTCAGGAGCTGTTCCGTGGACTCTGGAGAATACAAAGATAAAAGGATTTCCCTGCTAACAGACCTTTCCTGCCCAGAGAGATCAATCAATGAAGTATACTGGTTCCTGTCGCTGCCATAACAAATTATCCAGTGGGATGGCTGAAACAGTTAGAAATATTGTTCTAGAGGCCCTAAGTCCAAAATTAAGGCGTCATGTTGGCCACACTCTTTATACAGGTTCTAGGGAGAATCTGTCCATTCCTTGACTTTTCTAGCTTCTGGTGGCTGTTGGCTTTTCAGTTTGTGGCCAATCTTTGCTTACGTCTTCATGTCGCCTTCTCCTCTGTGTGGCTGTCTTCTCCTTTCTTGTCTGTCTCAAATCTCCTTCTGCATTTCTCTCATAAGGACACCTGTCATTGGATTTAGAACCCACCCTTATAAGCCAGGATGATCTTTGCTCTCAAGAGCCTTAACTTAATTACATCTACAAAGACATTTTCCAAACAAGTGATTGTTCACAGGTTCCAGGAATTAGGATATCGACATATGTTACGGGGCGCCATATATCCCGATAACCCACCTACAACAGGTCTCATCATAATAGTCAGAACACACTGAGTACTCATTGTGTACCAGGCAGTCTTCTAAGGACTTCATAAGTATTAGGTCATTTAATCATTTAATCCTGACTCCAATCCTGTGATGTGGATACTTGGCATTGGGCAAATATGCTGCAAAAAACAAACAAACAAAAAACTTCTAAAATCTTAAAAAGAAAAGATATCACTTTGAAAGACTTAGGTGAGCCTGACCCAACTCACGGTGTTTTCAATGGCCTCATACTCATGTAAAAGCTGAACAGTGAAAAAGGATGAACAAAGAACTGACATGTTTGCATTATAGTGTTGGTGACAAATATGGACTATATCTGGTGTGGAGCTGTAGGATAAGCACTGAATCACAAAGTCAGTTTAAACCACAAGTTGGCAGTTCAAACACACCAGCCACTCCTTGGAAACCCTACACAGGGTGGCTAAGAGTTGAAACCAACTTGACAGCACTAAACAACAACAACAACAACAACTAGTGGAATGAGCATATTTATCCCGTAGGCAGTACAGCCAGAATATCCCTTAGAAGTGAGGCTGGCCAGACTTTGTCTCACTCCCTTTGGACCTGTTATCAGAAGGGACCAGTCCCTGGAAAAGGACATCATGCTTAGTAAAGTAGAATCCAAGAAAAAGAGGAAGACCCTCAACAAGATGGACTGACAAAGTGACGGCAACAATGGGCTCAAACCTACTATTCATAAAGGAGCTCTGGTAGTGTAGTGGTTACGAATTGGGCTGCTAACCTCAGGGTCAGCAGCTCAAAACTACCAGCTGTTCCGTGGGAGAAAGGTGGGGTTTTCTGCTCCTGTATAGATTAATAGCCTCAGAAACTCTGTAGAAGGTCGCTATGAGTCAGACTGACTCCACGGCACATCACCACCACAACAACTATTGTGAACATGGTTCAGGACTGGGCATCATTACATTATACATTACGTTGCTATGAGTCAGAGACTGAATGGTACCTAACCATTAGTGATGAAGATGAGATGATGGGAAAGTATGTGTTTGGCTCCAAAGCCTCTAAGTAGTGGAAAGAGAAAGGGGAAGAGGGAGAAGAGGAAGGGAAGGGAAAGAGAACACAGGGAAGGGAAGTAACAAGGAAGATATGTATCTACAGGAATATTATTTAGATCTAAAGACCCAGAAAACTTGAGGTATGTAATTGTATTTAAAATTTTCCTCACACCTCCCAATTCTCTACATTTTAAAGTACCCCAATATCAGAGAATTGCTGAGGGTTCTATCCTCTCAAGCTCCTGGGTCTCTACCTTTGTCTTCCATAGGCTATCTGGATTCCAAACATAAAAATTCAGTGTTTTACACCATTTTCTGTTTTTTTGCCCCTTCACTGTTTTACACCATTTTTTCTCTCATGACAAATAGCAGAAACAAACCTTCACCATAGCATTAGAACTTCAGTGTCAGTTCTGAGGATTGACCCTATTTCTTGTCAAATGCTTTAAACACTCCCTGGAACAGTCCCATCCTCCCTGTCAAAGACTCTTTTCCTTGATCCTCTGTTCTTCCAGACAGAGAATCAGCCTCTCATCTTCTAGCTGTTCCTCTCTCCACTCACACTCCACACCCCACCCTTGCTGCCCCTTCCATTCATCCGAGTATCTAGTGCTAATACTATTGTTGTTAAGTGCCATTGAGTTGGTTCTGACTGATAGCAACCTGTACAGGGTTCCCAAGATGTGGCTAGTGAGTTTGAATTGCTGATCTTGTGGTTCAAACCAACCTTATGGTCTAGTCCTTTATCCCACAGTGCTACACCAGGACTAGAATTGGTGGCTTTAATAAACAGAAATTCATTTCCTCAGAGTTTAGGAGACTAGGAGTCAGAATTCAGAGCACTGTCTATAGGGGAAGATTTTCTATCTCAGTTGGCTGTGGAGAAAGATCTTCGTCTCTTTTCAACTTCTGTTGCTCAGTTCCTTGGTGATCTTCATGTGGCATTTATCTTTCTCTCTGTCCTTCCTTCTATGTACCTGTTGCTGTTGTTATTAAGTGCCATCAAGTTGGTTCCAACCCATAGTGACCCTGTACAGGGTTTCTGAGGGCGTAAATCTGTACGGGAGTAGAAAGCCTAATCTTTCTTCCGTGGAGCGGCTGGTAGTTTTGAACTGCTGACCTTAAGGTTCTCAGCCCGATTCGTAACCACTACACTGCCAGAGCTCCTTCTGTGTACCTAATCTGCTCCTTTTATTTCTCACAGGCTATTGATTCAAGACATGCCTTATACTGATAGGATCACAGTAACATAAAAATGAAAATGCTATTCCCAAATGGAATTACATCCAGAAGTACAGGGGTTTAAGATTTACAACACATATTTTGGGAGGACACAATTTAATCCTCCACAAGACAACACCACCCTACATGTAAATTCTTTTTAGGGACTCATGTATAACAGGTGAAAAAGTACTCTTCCTCATGCCTCATGACCAGCAGCCAAAACCAAGCCATGGACACTTTATCTTGGTGGTGGTAGTGTGCCGTAGAGTTGGTTCCGACTCATAGCGACCCTGTACAGGGTTTCTGAGGTTGTAAATCTTTACGGGAGCAGAAAGCCTCATCTTTCTCCCACAGTACAGTTGGTAGTTTCAAACTGCTGACCTTAAGGTTCGCAGCCTGATTGATAACCATAGGTGGATTCAAACAATCAACTTTTAGGTTAGCAGCTGACTCAACAGCACCTAACAACTATAACAATAGCTGATTACAAACCATAGGTGACAATATTTCCTGGGGAATAAGCTGGGAGCAAGATCAGAGAGAGGTTTAGGGGAGCCAGAAAGGCTCATTGGAAGAGAAGGCATTTGAGTCTTAAGAAGGAACACCATAAACACTGAATGTGACAGAGGTCAAAACAAGGTGTCCACAGAAGGGCGAGTCCCTCCTAGGCTAGTGAGAAGGGAAGTTCTGACAAGAAAGACTTCACAGGAAGTCCCTTTGTACAACCATGTTAGAAACAAAGTGGCAGGAAAGCTAATCTACATGCCTTCAGTCTGTATTCTCCAGCCCACAGCCCATTGTGACATCACCAGGATCTGGTTATAAGAAGAGAGACTTTGTCAGTATCAGTCCCTCCAGCCTGGCCTCCATAACCTCCTAGCAAGTCCATAAGCAAAATCAAGGGCCATGTTCCTGTTAGCAGTTTTTTTGCTCATGTCAGGAGCCAAGAGCAAGCATCTTGGTATGTGGACTCCTCTCTTGGTGGGGACTGAGCATGACAATCACCCTCCTCCCTCCCGTCCATCCAGTCAGTGGTCAGCATTAACACCAAAAGTAGAAGGAGAGTTGATTAGCTGGCTCATTCATTTAATTAGCTAGTTTATTAGATAACTCACAAGAAAATGTACAGTAGCTTTATGTTCTTCCACATACTTCTTGAAATCGCTTCTCTTCTCCTCTATTCCCCAATACAAAGTTTGACCTGTATAACCTTGAATTTTTATTTTGAAACCTGAGACTTTATTTCTGAATGACTAACAGAGCTCCCAGAAACATGTGTTCAGAATTAGTTGATTATTATAGCTGATGGGCGTCATGACCAAGCTTCTCATGAATTGGAGACACAGAGTGTAAGTGTAGCTCAGAACATTTAAGAGTACCCATAGGAAGAAGAATGGGGTTTCTGTTCTTAACCGTTAGCTCCTTAAAGCTCCCTGATGGGTCATGTCTCTTTCCAAGGGGGAGCAAGTGGCTGGAAGGAAACTGGGAGGTTTAGCAGTTATTATGGGCCAGGTACTTTCCTACCTTTAATGTCCAAAACAACATTGTAGGGGTTTTGCTCTTAGTCCCAGATTATGAGTGAAGAATTCTGAGCCTTACAGTGTGGCTGAGGACTTTTTAAAAGACACACAAGAATTTGTAGCAGATCTGACTCAAAAGTCCATGTTTTACTGTTCAACTGTCATTCTTCAATGTGCCCTTGGGTTGGTGTGTTTGGGGAAGAGAGGTTAGTGTGTAGTGTGGGGAGAGAATATGGAGAACAACAAGTGCCCCACTGCAAGTGTCCAATACAAGGAGACTGAAAACAAATGATTGCTCAAATCCCTTCTCCTCGATTTCTAAACTGCCTGAATGATGTCCAAATTCCATTGGGTTGCCTTGCTTTGGAGTGTGCACAAGTATGGATCTTCCAATCAGTTGGCCAGGTAGCTGTCTTCCAAATTTCTAGTCATAGATGAGTGAGCACCTCCAGTACTTCGTCAGTTTGTTGAAACATTTCAATTTGTATTCCTTCAATTCCCGCAGCCTTAATTTTCACCAACGTCTTTAGAACAAATTGGACTTCTTTCAGTACCATCAGTTATTGGTCACATGCTACCTCTTCAAATGACTGAATATTAACCATTTCTTTGTGGCACAGTGACTCTGTATATTCCTTCCATCTTCTTTTGGTGATTTCTGCATCATTCAATATTTTGCCCATATTGAATTTTGGCCAATATTTTGCCAATATGTCAAATCAAGGCTTGAATTTTCTTTTAGTTCTTTCAGCTTGAGAAATGCTGATTGTGTTCTTCCCTTTTGTTTTTCTAACTCCATTTTTGGAGTCTTTGCATATTTCATTTTAATACTTCACTTTGTCTTCTCAAGGTGCCCTTTGAAATTTTCTGTTCAGCTCCTTTACTTGCTCATTTCTTCCATTTACTTTAGCATATTGTGTTGGAGAACAAGTTTCAGAGTCTCTTCTGACATCCATTTTGGTCTTTTCTTTCTTTCCTGTCTTTTCACTGACCTTTTACTTTCTTCTTGTATGATAATTCTTGATGTCATCCCACAGTTCTTCTGGTCTTTGATTATTAGTTTCTAGTGCATTGAATCTGTTCTTGAGATGGTCTCTAAATTTAGTTGAAATGTGCTCAAGGTCAACTTTTGTCTCTCATGAAGTTGTTTAATTTTCTTCAGCTTCAGCTTGAATTTGCTTATGAGCAATTGGTCTATTCCACAGCCTGGCCTTGTTTGGGCTGATGATATGGAGCGTCTTCATCATCTTTTCCCACGGATGTAGTCAGTTTGATTCCTGTGGATTCCATCTGGTGAGGTCCTTGTGTACAATCACCTTTTATGTTGTTTAAAAGGTATTTGCAATGAATAAGTTGTTGGTATTGCAAAATTCTGTCATGCTATCTCCAGCATCATTTCTATCACCGAGACATAGCTTCCAACTACTGATCCTTCTTCTTTGTTTCCAACCTTCACATTCCAATCACCAGTAATTATCAATGCATCTTGATTACATGTTTGATCAATTTCAGATTAAAGAAGTTGGTTGTTGTTTTTGTTATTGTTAAGTACTGTCAAGATGGTTCCAACTTGCAGCAATCCTGTATCGGATTTCCAAAGTCTGATTGGTGGATTTGAACCCCCAACCTTGTAGTTAGTAGTCCAGTGCTTATCCTATAGTGCCACAATAGGACTATGAAGAAGTTGGTAGAATTCTTCAATTTTGTTATCACTGAGTTTAGTGGTTGTTCTTCCTTGTAGGTATATGGATAGTTTCCTATCATAGACAGCATTGTACTTCAAGACAGATCTTGATTTTTTTTGACAAGGAGTGTGATGCAATTCCTCTTCAATCTATAATTCTCAGCATAGTAAACCATATGATTGATTCAAAATGGCCAATGTCAGTCCATTTCATTTCACTAATGGATATCAATCTTTATATGTTCCATTTCATTTTTGACAACTTCCAATTTTCTTAGATTCATACTTCACACATTCTGTGTTCTAGTTATTAATGGATATTTGCAACTGTTTCTTCTCTCCTTAATCAGCAAATTAAGGTCCAGAAAAGCTATGCTTCATTCACATCATTATATTCAACTCTACTTTGAGGATACAACTCTTCCCCAATCATATTTTGAATGTCTTCCAACCTGAGGAACTCATCTTACAACACTATATTTGACAGTTGTTGTTGTTAAGTGCCGTCGAGTCGGTTCCGACCCATAGCGACCCTGTACAGGGTTTCCGAGGGTGTAAATCCTTATGGGAGTAGAAAGCCTCATCTTTCTCCTGCGGAGCAGCTGGTAGTTTCGAACCGCTGACCTTAAGGTTCGCAGCCCGATTCGTAAACACTACGCTACCAGAGCTCCTTAGTAGTTGTTGTTAAGTGCCATCAAGTCAGTTCCGACCCATAGAGACCCTGTATAGGGGTTCCGAAGAGCAGCTGGTGACGTTGAACTGCTGACCTTGCAGTTCAAATGGCTTTACAGTCTGGTGCATTAACCCACAGCGCCACACCAGGGCTCCATATTTGACAATGGTCCTCTGCTATTCATAAGGTTTTTAGGGGCTAAACATTCAGAAGTAGTCTGCCTCACCTTCCTAGTCTGTCTTAGTCTGGAAGCTTCGCTGAATATTGTTCACCATGGGTGATCTTGCTGGTATTTAAAATACCAGTGGCATAGCTTCTACCATCACAGCAATACATAAGCTTCCATAGTGTAATAAACTAATAGACAAGAGGTGGATCCTCATCTGTAGAATAGTTACAATGGTATCTATTTACAAGCCTCCTTTTCCCAATGCTGATAGTAGTAGTAGGTAGTAAGTGATAGTAGTAATAGATATTAACAAAATATTGAATCCTTTACCTTCCACCACACTGAAGAGTTCAGAGGCAGTTGTCTGCCAACCGTTGACAAGGTCTAGGAATGATACCTTCCATTTCCTTTTCTGACAGGATGCGGTGAGAGACCTATTTTTGAGGGAGGAGCTCAGCATTCCAGAATCATAGAGGGGGTGGAGGCTGGGTTTGGTGAGTTTCCATGGATGGTGAGTATTCAGTTGGGAAATGAACATTTCTGTGGTGGTACAATCCTGAACAAGTGGTGGATTCTAACTGCTGCTCATTGCTTTCATTATGAGCAATTATCGTAAGTACCCAAGCACACATCCTTATTTACTTCTATTGTTGTCTACTCCCATGCCACCCTGAGACTCTCCAAAGGACTTAGTTAATAAGCCTCTCATAGGACCTACACATTCTTCTAGGAGAAAATGATCCTGATTCTGGAAGTCTGGTTTCCTGGGACACCTGACTTTATTGCCCTGCTTCTTGTAGAGTATTCTCAGGATAATCTAGCTTTTACTGATTACTAATTATGTGTCAATGACTCTGTTAAGAATATCTACTTAGACTTTATTCATTTAAGTAATCTTACAATGAACCCTCCATGACCAGTAGAACTAAAAAACCCATTTTATAAATAAGACAACTGAGGTCCCAAAAGGTTGAGTAACTCACCTGAAGCACACAACTAGTAGAAAGAGATAGAACTTAAATTCTGGCTCCCAGCCTTGTGCTTTTCACTGTAACATCACCAGAAAGGGTTTAAAGACTTCCAAGAGTTCATCAAAAAGTCCTGGGAGTGTTTTGTAATGACATAACCAGGGAACATTGTATGATCTCTTCCCATAGAATATTTAAAAATTGGCAAATGGAAAATTCATAGCCATTCAGCCGCAGCTGGGGTGGGGCCTGGATGCTGACCTCTTACTGAAGATCTTTTCTGCTCAGTCAGTGGTAGATCTAGGTTAAATGGTGCTCCTGGGTTCACTAAATTGTTGGTAAACACGTTGGTATAAAACAGATATACTAATATCTATTTTTAAAGCTAGTTTGGTCTTTTGAAGACTCTTCCAATTGCTCAAAGTTTAAAAGGCAGCCTTATTTTACTAGGAAGGTGTATTTCATGCATATCTCTGAAACCTGTGATGGAACAGAGGCGTAGCTGTGGTTTCCAGTACTGATTATTATGCCATCCTCAAATTCTTCCAAATTCTCACATCTTCTGAGTGATAAACCCAATAGGTTCCATTCTCAATACCCCTAGAATTATATAGGATTTAGGTATTCCTGGAATAACAAATTCTTCCCACTTGTGAATTTCCCTTTTTCTCCTCTCTGTTCACGTCTATGCCACCAGTCCAGCAGACCTGAATATTGTGGCCGGAACCAATGACTTAATCAGTCCACATAAAGAAATCAAGGAGGTCACCAAAATAATTCTTCACAAGGATTTTGAAAAAGTCAACATGAACAATGATGTTGCTTTGCTCCTATTAGGCTCACCTATCACCTTCACTGATGAGAAACTCCCCATCTGTTTGCCCAGGCAACCCATCCCCTCCACCTGGCATGAATGCTGGGTGGCAGGGTGGGGACAGACCAGCAGTGGTATGTGACTCCTCAGCATCTTCTGAGAACCTCTGGGCTGGGGGAGGGGGAGAGTCATGAGTAATGTGTGGCTGAGAGTGGGCCTTTATATCTGACGGAGAAGGGGGAGGAGGATGAAAGGGAGAGAGAAGTGAAGAAGAAGGAAGGAGAGAAAGACTTTGCATTGGATCAAATCCCTGCATGGTAGAGGCCTAATCTCAGCTTCTTCCAAGTGCCAAGGAAGCATCTTCCAAAAGCTGTAAACTGAGATGTCAGGTCAGATACAGTTCCCAGGTGTGGTTTTCTTCAGTTAGTACAGAGTAGTTTTGTTTATATAATTGAATTCAAATATCTGTAGGCAGTCTACACACTCTCCAATTTGTTTTGCCAGAGGCCCCTTCTAATCTTAATTCTCTAGCATCCCCCTTGATTCACACACTGAAGTTTCATACCTAGTTCCTACAGGCCTAGGCTTTTGATGGTCTTGGAGCATAGCCCTGTAGTTCTTGTAGGAATGAATCCGTTGTTACTTGTTGCTTGTTACTTGGCCAAAATAGAAACAAAAGCATTTCAGAACAGAAAGATATGATGAAGTCCCACCTTAACTGTCCCAAAAGAAAACTTGACAAAAACCACAGCAAACAAGTTGTGGAGGATATGGGAATAGCATAGTAATGTCTCAAGTGTGAACAAGACTAAATCCATAAACATGCTTTTTAACAAGCTGGAGCATCCAAGATGGTAGGTGTCTCAAGTGCTCTGCAACCAGAGGAATTGGATGGAACATTGATTCTGGACTGTTAGCACCACTTAAAATTTAGAAGTAGATGGAGTGGACAAGAAAGGTGTTTACAAGAGTAAAAAGATTTAATAAGGATAATTGTGAAATTTCTGCATAGTCAGAGTAGATGAGATAGACAGAAGCCCAGAAGGACCTAGGACAAAGTCCTTCCAAAGACTTTTAGCCAACTTGCTCTTGCAAGGGATTCTGGACTTTTCTCATTGATTTCTCCCCCACCAGTAGTAAAATCCAACTTTCAGAAGCTCTGTGTAAGGGAAGTGCCATACTCACATCATAAAAAGTGAAAATAGGCAAATATAAGTGAAAATGTTGAATTATGTTCAGAAATGGTCTATAGCTAGTTCTAGGAAGATGTCAGATCAGTAGGACTGGTGTCAATCTGAATGTTTTCTTGATTTTGAATGAGGGAGATCGTTTAAGAAAGTGGAGATTGTTTGGAATAGTCTGGGGGTGGGTGAGTATAGAACTTGTGCATAGAAGAAGGTGGCTGTGAAGAAGGAAAGCCCAGGATTGGTGGCAGGTGGGACAAGAAGATGTGCAAGAGTGGTTTTAGAGGAGGGTTGGTTATATTATCAGTCCTGGATCCTGCTGGGTTAGAATAGACTCCACTAGCTGGCAGTGGGTGGCTTTGCTTGGTTTTAGTGTGGCAGGACCCGCTGAATGGTGACTTTTCTAATGTGCTTTCTCTGTGGGCCAGACAACAAATACTCTATGACAACGGATCTGATGAAAGTACCAATGATCATCTTGGATTGGGAAGAATGTTCAAAGAAGTTTTCAAAACTTACCGAAAATATGCTGTGTGCTGGATACAAGAATGAGAGCTATGATGCTTGTCAGGTAATTCGAGGGTGCCCCACCCTTACCTAACAGATCCTTATCCCATCCTGGCTGCCAATGTAAATGCATTTATTTCTGCTGGGATTAATTAAAAGTTTGGAAAATGTGTGAGAATCAGGGTCTTAGGTCACAGAAAAAGGATACAGACAGCAGAGTCTTTGGAGATTCGTCATGTGAACTGCACCCTTGGAGTGCAACTCTGATGGGAGTGAGCATGCAGCAACACTAAGCAAATATTTCTGATCTTCTCCAGGCCCACTAGGTAAATAGGGCCCCAAGGTTTTTCCTATTTCTTGGAATTCTAAAAGAACAAAAAAGCCAAGGATTTGAGATCCCTATAATGAATTGTTTTAATTCATTCATCTAGTAACCTTTGCTGAATAGGTACTGCATACTAGGACTTGGGAATGCAGCCGTGAATGAGATAAGGCTCATCCTTTATAGGAACCCACAGTTTTATGGGTTGGCAGTAGACAAGTAAACTACTTGGTGCAATTGTTTACAAGTTGGGCAGCTAACCACAACATGGACTGTTCAAACTCACCCACCAGCTGCTCTGAGGGAGCACAATAAGACTGTCTGCTCCTGTAAAGATATTCAGTCTTGGAACCCCTTATAAGGAGCAGTTGTGCTCTATCCTATAGGGTCACAATGAGTTGGAATCAACTCCATGGCAGTCCTGGTATGGATAGGCACTGGGTTGCTAACTATAAGGTTGGTGGTTCAAATCCACCAGTCCCTCCTTGGAAGCCCTATATATAGTGTAGCTATCAGTTGGAACTGACTTGATGGCACTTAGCAACAACAACATAGGACAGAGTAGAACTGCCCCATAGGGTTTCCAACCAAGTGCATAACCACTGCACCTCTGGTGGTTGTGTGCTGTTGAATCAGTTCCAACTCACAGCTACCCCATACAGGGTTTCTGAGGCTTCAGATCCTTATGGGAGCAGAAAACTTCATCTCTCTCTCAAAGAATGACTGGTAAATTTGAACTGCTGACCTTGCAGTTAGCAGCCCAGCTCATAATCCACTACGCTACCAGGACCCCTGTTGTTAAGTACCATGGAGTCGGTTCTGACTCATAGAGACCTGCACAGGGTTTCCAAGGCTGCAAATCTTTATGGGAGCAGAAAGCCCTATCTTTCTCCCATGGAACAGCTGGTAGTTTCAAACTGCTGACCTTGAGGTTAGCAGCCTGATTTGTAACCACTACGCTACCAGAGCTCCTTTCATATATTGATAAGAAAGCTAAGACTCCTTGAGCTTCACAGTCTTATATTTTAGCTTCTGTCTAATAAAATGAATACAAACAATTTAAGAAGAAAAACTTTTTTGATTGGTTGTTAGGAGAATAGAAAAAACTCAGAAATTATTTTCATCTAGCTTTAATGATGCATGAGGAGATTGACTTTTAAAGCTCAAAAACTCTGTCTTAGGAGGTGCCATTTTGATGAGCCCACTTAATACCAGCTGAAAGTTAAGTCTCTACTCTTGTGTGGGAACTGAGTCGGTCTTCTCCTTGGAGGAAAACTACAAATGTAAATGCACCATTCACTGAGAGGTTAAACAATTAAAAGTCTGTCTAAGGGGATGAGAAGGTATTTATCTACCATATTCTTTATTACTCTTTAATGTGAGGATATTGCTAGTTTTCCCTGGTAGGCTTTCAGATAGTGGGGCCTTGTATATGGGGAGCTTTTGTATAGGAGCTGGGGGTAATGAAATAGAAGAGAATGGAGAACTATGAAGTAAGATGTGAACTACAGCCACATGGCTACCGGCCTACAAACAGTCATTAATCTGGAGAACAAAGTGAGGACCAAACAGAGAAAATCAATGTCATGTGAACCTTGTGTTTTCTTCACATTCTTAATAAAATAAAAATAAAAAAGAGAGTTGGACCTTCTGATTTCCAGGCAAGATGGAATAGGACCATCTCCCTATTCCTTCCACTAAGTATAGCTAAAAACTTTGGACATGATAGCATAAAACAAACAGAAAGTTGGGGCTAAAATGATGGATTGACTGAATACCCTGAAACTTGAGGAACAACACAGTGGTGAGTTTTGAGGTTTTCTTTTTGCCTCCTATATATCCCAGACAGGATGTTGGAGAAGCCCACCACCCAGAAATGCCAATGGATATATACAAAACAAACAAAAACAACTCTGCTTTCTTTTGCCAAAAAACTAGGAAGAAGGTAATATAGAAAGACATGAAATGTTGCAGAAAAACACCACTAAAGAACCCACATGGTGCTGTGGGTTAATGCACCAGGCTGCAAAGCCATTTGAACTGCAAGGTTGGTTCAAGTTCACCAGCTGCTCCTTGAAAACACTATACAAGGTCACTATGGGTCAGAACTGACTTGATGGCACTTAACAACACAACAATAAAGAACCCACAGTCCCCTCTTCCCCTCAGCAAAAGCCAAGTGGAGAGTCTAGATTTCCATCCTTGACCAGTGATGAAGAGACACCCTTCCTTCCTATTCCCTGGCAGGATGAGGTCAGAGGAGGTCAAGAAGGAAGCGAGTATTTTATATATTTATTTATTACCATTTCCATAGGAAAAAGATGAGGCTTCACAGCTTGGGAAACCCTGTGCAGGGTTGCTATGAGTTGGAACCAACTCCACAACACACCACCACCACACTGTAATAAAGAACCATTCCCTTCCACCCTAGCATCAGTGGAAGTAGGAAATTCTATGCCTATCTAGCAATAAAGAGTTAGTATCCCATCACCTTGTTCTAGTTTCAGACAGAAGGTCCCTTAAAACAAAAATTTAAACAAGATCTAGAATCTCATAATAGTCCAAATGCCTAGAGGCATATCATACTTAGAATAGAGTTGTACTAGGGTACATGCATTCAATTTAGTTATAAACATGGAATAAGAAAAAAAATCTAAATTAAGAGTACAGAGTTATTTTTTTTAATTGAATGCCTAAGGTAAACAATCTAATTAAATTGTAATGCTAAATGAATCATGCACTTAATTATAAATACAAAATGCAAAACTTTTAGGAAAAAAATAAAATGCAAAACTTTTAAGAAAAAAATAAAATGCAAAACTTTTAGGAAAAATACCTAGAAAATATTTGGAACGTAGAGCTAGGTGAAAAGTTCTTAGAGTTTATACTAAAGCATGATCCATACAGAGAAATATGGGAAAACTGGACCTTAGTTAAACTAAAAACGTTTGCCCTGTGAAAATCCCTTGTTAAGATAATGATGAGGCAAGCACCAGAGTGGGAGAAAATATCCACCAAAGATTGTATCTATAATCTATAAGGAACTCTAAAAATTCAACGTATAAAAATAAATAAACAATCCAGTTAGAAAATGGGCAAAAGACACAAAGAGACATTTCGGTGATGAGTATTTATGAACGGCAACTAAGCACATTAAAGATAGGCAATATCATTAAAAATTAGGGAAAGGCAAATTGAAACCACAGTGAGATATCACTACATATCTATTGGAATGAGTAAAATAAAAACATAATAACTGATAAGAAAACCACATGAAGATTGCTAACAGAGAAAGGCTTACCCTATAGCTTGTTGTTGTTGCTGTTAGGTGCAATCCTGTACAGGGCTTCCAAGGAGCAGCTGCTAAATTTTAACTGCCGACCTTGTGTTGCTTATCCTTACAGTGCCACACCAGGACTCCCTACCCTATAGCTAGCACCCTGAAATCCAACTTCTATCTCCTAACTGTGAGAGGATAAATTTGCTTGTTAAAGTCAATACAATAACAATAACAAAACAAATTACAGCAAGGATGTGGAGAAACTGGATCATTGACACATTACTGGTGGGAATTTAAGATGGTACAACCACTCTGGAGAACAGTTTGGGAGTTTCTTCATATGCCTTGCCTTATAGACCAGCAATTGAGCACTTGGGCAGTTAGTTCAGATAAATTAATGCTTATGCTCATATACTTATTCAATCTGTATTTTGAGCACATAATCCAAGAAGCTGAATTATATGAAAAAGAACATGGCATCAGGATTGGAGGAAGACTCATTAACAACCTGCGATATGCAGATGATGCAACCTTGCTTGCTGAAAGTGAAGAGGACTTGAAATACTTATTGATAAAGATCAAAGACCACAGCCTTTGATATGGGTTGAATCTCAATGTAAATAAAACAAAAAAATCCTTACCACAGGACCAATAAATAATGTCCATATAAATGGAGAAAAGATTGAAGTTGTCAAAGACTTCATTTTGCTGGATCCTCCATAAATACTTATGGAAGCATCAGTCAAAAAATCAAATGAGTATCTGCTGCACAAGACCTCTTTAGAGTGTTCAAGAGTAAAGATATCAGTTTCAGGACTAAGTTTAGCCTGACCCAAGTCATGATATTTTCCATTACCTCATATGCATATGAAAAGTGAGCAATGAATAAAGAAGACCGTAGAAGAATTGATGAATTTGAGTTATGGTGTTGGAGAAGAATATTGAAAGTGCCATGGACTGCCAGAAGAAGAAACAAATCTGTATTGGAAAAAGTACAGCAAGAATGCTCCTTAGAAACCAGGATGGCAATACTTCATCTCTCATATTTCAGATATATTATCAAGAGGGACCAGTCCTTGGTGAAGGACATCATTTTTGGTAAAGTGGAAGGTCAGTGAAAAAGAAGACAACCCCCAATGAGATGGATTGGCACAGTAGCAGCAACCAAGGACTTAGTGTAACAACAGTTGTGAGGATGATGTGGGATCAGGCAGTGTTTCACTCTTTTATGCAACCGACTAAGTCAGAACCAACTGCATGGCTCCTAACAACAACCACATTATAAATGTTGCTGTGTAAGGGTAAGTTGAAAATTATTGCTACAAAACGATGGAAATGTTTATTACACAGAAATGTCAAAGTGTGAAGTTGTTGTTTCTCAACATACTCGTATCCTCCATCTAGGTCTATATATTTCTGAAGATGACAATTCCATCTCCCTAATCCTTTTCCTAAGGAGCTC